ATGTCCACATATAATACATGGCACGATACTATTATGATTTTTTTTCAATATCGTGACTACCACTAACTATGTGTTATAAAAAATAATTTGCCACCTATCAAAATACATATACATTATTGAATGAAATCTTAATATTATATACCGCTTTAATATTTGCTATTGTACTTAATCAGGTTTAGATGAAAAGTAACATTTTAGAAGAAATAATGAGTAATTTTCTTCAATTGTCTTTGTTTGAAAGGTATAGAGTCATTAGGCATAAAAACAGTGTCTTGAAAGCATTAAAATATATTGTATAAATTAACTAATATTAGAATTAGTCATGCCTTGGTTAATTAGGCGTTAAGTTTCTAGTACTGTGTGCATTATCGTAGACTGGCGAAGTATCTTTTGAATTTACGTTGCTCCCGCTTGATCTGGAGTCGAGTGTAATCTGTCTGCAAGAGGTTTTACATACACCCACCCGCCATCCTTAGTTTCTTTAAACAGCTGTTAAAGGAAAAAAGGTATTATATCTTTTTCCAAAAGAAAATACATAATTAATTTTCAATAGTGTATACCTTAGTTTGCCAATTACTGTTATTTTCTTTTCTAATTCGTGCCTCGTCGCGTTGTCTCTGTTCAATGGTACACTTTGCTGCAGTGGCTTTCTCCATGTCATTAATCCTTAATCCCACAGTTACATCTCGCCAAACTTTTCGCGACTCGTTATCTTCCTGTTCGCAGACTGGTTTTACTAATTTTTTCTGAGTAGTAAGTTCTCTAACGTCCGCGAATATTTCAGTTCTCTGAATGGTAATTTATATTACGTTATTGAAATTCGAAATTATAATTATCTGATAATTACGGTGATTAGTTTTCATACTTACACCATCAGCCCATTTTGCTTCCATAGCACCACTCCACTCTCCATTTATAGAAAGAAATGGTTTTTTATCTCCCGGTTGTGTAATCTGACATGTAATACGGTTACGTTTACCCCCATAAAAAGGTTTTGTCAAAAATTCTACAGTAGCATGGAAGCCAGTCTGTGGGCAATGTATAGTTGCAGTTCCTCCTAATTCTATCCATGGTACAGTAAGGATAGATCTACCATAACCATTTGGAAAAGATAAGATGTACTCTTCTCCATACTGTAATACATTTACCCAACCCTTGCCTACGTTATGCACCCCTATACTTAATCCAAGGAATTTACTTTTTGTCCATACATGTGCTCCAAAACTAATTTGCTTCGTATAATGTTCAGCATAGAATGCGCTTACTAGATAAAGAATACTATTTTCACTAAACATGTTTTAAAAGTCAAATGATTAGTAGGTTAAAAACTTACTTGGAGGATGATGAGAAACTTGTTCTGCAACGAATGAAAGTTGATTCTCTCTACACCAAGGTACAGGACCTTCGGCAACTAATTTCGAATCAATTGTACTATCTACAGTGACATTGGGAATATCCCAATGACACCTAAAAATTTCACCTAATATTGGATTATACGGTTTTTTTGCTACACCTGATTTACGACCTGCATGGAAACTGCATAAATACCAGCGAACTACTTGAACCATTCTATCTCTTGGGGTAACCATATCTGCTATGCTACAACGAATGAAACAATTTATAACAATTTATAACAAATATTAACAATTAAAACGCAAGATGTATTTTACAAAACATATTTTTAATATCATATACCTTATAAATTGATCTGGATGAGTAAAGTAATCTGCATACATTTCTAAAAGTGATCTGCGTTCCAATATAAACGTAGGTAATGCTACTTTTGTTAAATCCATGCCAATTTTCACTTGCGACAAGAGATGGGTTACAACTGAACCGTGGGATTCCATGGAATCCACTGAAAAGGAGTACATATCAGGTTAGGTAATACATTTATTTTTCTATTTCATTCTGTTTCTTAATAATTTAAATGTACAGTAACATGTACTAATTACTAACTTTCGGTTTCGCTTTCCTCCTCGTAAAGAGCTATAACAAAACATGATCTTATATATTAACGATAGATTAATATATTTATTATCGACAGATTGATATATTTAATAGTCACTCAAATATTGTTTGACTTATTTATTCGTAAATATTAAGATGATATAGAGTAATATAAAGGAATCTGTTCAATATACATCAATATATTGTAAACTGTCTTTTACACTGCAATGTAACATTTGTGCAATATCGATGAAATATTTATATTTTTCTATAATCTTACATAGACTTACATTTTGAATTTGTGGGCAGCATATTGTTTTTTTGGAAAATACCAATTAATATCCATTCCTAAATACTTTCACTGTATAGAATTAACTACACATGACATAAAAATCTTCTTTTGAGAAATAAAATCCACAGAAAATAAGAAAATATTAAAGATTGACAAAAATTTTTGGTCTGTGAATTCGTCATATTATCAGACATTCAAGTTTAAGTACAAATTCGATGACTATTTTACGATAACGTTACGTTGACACGATAATTCACGTGTTGTGTAAGATGCTCCCTAAAATCAATAGTTTTAGTTGCGGGTAACGTCGAATGGTGCAAATCTGTGTTATCGATACTACTAAAACGCATTTAATTTCTTACATTCGATTTCTCAATGATTCATTTCAAATTTTAATTATTAAAATGTAAATAAATTTGATCATAAATTTCGAGATTTTCTTAGCTAGATGCGTTAGAATTTTAATCTATAACTAACATGTCCTAATCTAGTTCAGCTAATCTAAATATGTATATATTCATTTTTATTGCAATTGATGTTTACTTTTTCACTTTTAGTTTCTTCCTTGAGCCCAAATATAAATATAAATATTACATGCATATAATACAGTGGATATAGAACAGTACATAGATACAATACATGTAAATACGTTATATTTATTACATATAATTACGAACATAGACTTACCATCATAATCAACTGATCCGTCACCTTTTGTAGGAGGTAACGGGTTTTGTCTCCGGTTTTCATTAGAATTGTCTGCATGCATTTGTGACCGTTCGCTCTCTCGTCGTCTACTAAAAGATTTCAGTATTATTTTCAAGTAATACGTGTTACGGTTTATATAATTTACGAATACTTACACAGTAATATGATTTTGTATTGCGCTAGGTGGTGCTATTTCATCTGCTGCATCAAAATAATCTTCATCCTCGTCCGAAGATGAGTAAGAAAATTGTGGTACTGGAAGATCTCTATCTACAACAGCTTTATAAATAAAATAAAGATTTTAACATCTTTTTTAGTATTGTCAAAATGAAATACTGAATACTTTCATACGCAATTTTCATTTTCACAGAAGTACATGTAACTAAGGAAAAGAGGATTACCATTTGGCAATGTAGGTATTCTTGGTTCTACACATTCAGAACCCAATTCAATTCCAGTTTGTACAGCTGTTTCTGGTTCTCTAGTAGCAACTGAAGTTCACCCCATTAAAATTTCACTATTAGAAAAACATTCTGTATATTATATCTAACTAATTACCATGAGATAAGGCAGATGAAACATGTATTGAGTCAGTGGGTCCCCTATATATCCCATTTACAGGTATTGCTGTGTTCTGAAAGTATTGTTTTCATCATGAATATTACAGTTGGTTAAATGAAGTGTGCAGAATATAATTGTGAAATCCTTCTAAAAGGTACACTATTTTACGAAGTTTTTACCTTTGCAATTTGCAACTGAACTATTGTATGCTTAACAGAATTAAGCATTGCATTAGCTTGAGTTAAAATTGCTGTATACTTCTCTTGCTTTTCTTCATCTTCCGTAGATGCATTCCTTTGTTTCGTTTCAATTACTTTTATTTGATCAATTAACAGTTGGAGATAAGCGTCTGCTTCAGCTACTTTACGATCAAAATCTTGTTTTGGGGGAGACTTTTTAGGATCCCACCTCTGAAATAATAATAAATTCTTTTTGTTAGATAAATGAGTCAAAAGAAAACTTAATAATCGTAATATACTAGTAGGACATAAACTAATAATACAGCATGAGAATGACGTAATATAGTATCTTCTAAAGCACGAATCCAACGCTCTCGTTCCTCTGCATTTCGTGTTTGGAAGTGAAATGTTTTTGGATCATCTTTATAAGATGATGTTGTAATGGTAAATGTGCTATCATCTTCATCATCTATACCAATGATAGCGCCTCTTAAGCGTACACATCCTCTGCGTGCTCCTCTCATCATTTTCTCCTTACTCTGAAATAAAATAATTACAAAAGCTTGATTGAAAATATAACATCAATACAAATTGCAGATTATAAAAATATTCTGTATGTTGACATTTTGCAACATTTTTTCAAAATGAAAATAATTGCAACAATTTTAAAGTCCTTTTATTAAATGGAGTTTACTCTTATCACAAAAATCTGATAAGGAGTAGTCGTGTTTTATCACTGTAGAAGTAACTTTATGATTGGAAATTAAGCAATCAGCTGATTATGACAGATAGATAAATTGTTACTATCATAAATAGGATTAATGTTCAAGAATCGTGTCAATGAACGAACAAAGATACTACTGCACGGAAAATAAACATTGTATTAAAATAATGGATTGTATATTAATTGTTTTGACAAACTAGTGGGGTGTGTAACCTGTTGGCAAAACGCATCGAATCAACATAAACCATACTTAAATTGTTTCGAAAATCTTACCGTATAATACGACAATAGACCGGCATTGTCATCTAGAACAAACCATCGATATTGCCATCCGTTAACAACATTTGTCCATTTGCTAAGTGAACCTTCCATCGTCGACATTGTTATTTGTTGCTCGCTGTTACTCACGGCATATATACAGGTACAGATATAATACGTGTTTCTGTACGAACATATAGAAAGGTAACTCTATAAGAAGATTTACATAAGACGAATTTTCAAACGTCTTTAGATTGGAATTAATTCTTTATCTCGCAAACGAATGATAGCGGATTTAAATTGCGCCAATTTATCGGTGACACGCATGTACATACTTTCAATTTGAATCTATCATTTCGAGCGCAACAAAATTTACGGTCTTTCCTTTATTGAAATAGGATCGTGTGTAAGAGAAAAAAATCATCTGTACCGGCTTACTATCTTCCTAGTTACTTCCTGTAGTCAACGATTATGAAAGATTCCGTTAAGATAATAATAAAATAGTAAATACAGCGTTGAATACCGAAAGCCGTGGAAATGGTTGAGCGTACGTTAATGCGATAATCAATTTTCTGTGTAAATTAAAACTAATTCAAGTATTTTCTATTAAGTAAATAAATTATTCTCGATCCAGATAAATATTCGAAAAGAAGGAAAGTGTCGTACATTCGATTCAAGGAAGATTAGGCAAGTAATGTATGTTTCCAATCAGCTGGTTAATTGTTTTTTTCACTACAAGCTAGCTACCTACACCGTCGTTGGTGTAGTAACATATGTATACCTATTTGCAATTGTGTGGCAGCGATAGATAGATGGAAAAGTAACAAATAAATTCGTGCATTCAACGTAAATGTGGTTAATAGATGTTTTGTAAATTTGCATTGTTTTCTACCGTTCGTTATACGCGTACATATATGTGTACATAATATACGTGCAACAAATAATATTCCATCGAATTCCTTTACGAAAATTATAAAAGAGGCATGACGTTTTTAGGCAAAGAAAACTCAGTGTTAAAGTAAACGATATTGAAAATTGAACATGTTCCATTCACTCTAATTAGTATTGCATACAAGTGACTCATAATATTTATAATAACGTGTGTTGGAAATTAACAGTAAACATTAAATATGGAAGAAAAACATGGTTCAAGTACATTGGAAGACGAAGAAGTGGAGGAGTCAGAAAATATAATAATAAATGAAGTTGATGGATTACCAAATTTACATCCTAATTATCAACAGTTAGAATTAGAATTTGATGTAGAAAAAGGTCATAGTGAGACTAATACAAGGTCTCTAGAGGATTTAGTTCACGATGAAGATTTACCAACATCTGTCATAGTAACGAATGTGGATCCTCGAGTATTTAAAAGTGATGAACTAAAGGTATAAGAAGTAAATAAGTTTTCACAGAAAAGTTAAGTGAAATAAAAAAATGTTGTATGTTTAGTTAAACGCACTGTTTCTTTTTATAGCATAAAATAGAAGATCTATTTAAACAATTTGGAGAAGATGCTACATTTCAATATTTTAGATCATTTAGAAGAATGAGAGTAAACTATAGTTCTCCAAATGCAGCTGCAAATGCTAGGATACAGTTACATCAAACACACTTCGGCGAGACAGATATCAATTGTTACTTTGCACAGCCTGTCACTCCGATAGGTTTGTAACTGCATATGTTATACTATAAATAACAATGTCAACTTTATTAATGACAACAACAATTCATTCCACAGATATGGAAGATCAGCATCTTCAACCACCAGCACTTACTAAACAGTTCCTAATTTCACCACCTGCTTCACCACCTATCGGCTGGGAGCCCAGAGAGGAAAATGAACCTTTAGTTAATCACGATCTGTTAGCAGCTATAGCAAACTTATCTGCAGGTTCGTATGACATTTGTTACTATCTTAACATCCCATTTTATGTGTCTTGCATCATAACATAAATTGTTATCGCGACATTTTATTAATCGTTGACTTTATAGGAGGAAGCCATGAATTACATCCTGGAGGTTCTGGTCAGCCAGGAATAGTTGTCCATGTTTGCGAAACAACAAATCCTGTAAAAAACGCCCCACGCATACAGCATACACGTTGTCCAGAACATTCATAAGTAGCATCATTAGAAATATTGTCCTTTTTATGGCAATGAATTATTTATCCATCCAAGAAGAAACTAGAGGCATTACTTACAATGGCATTCAATATTCAAACATTTTTATTGCTATACTGCAAAATTGAGAATTCTTAACTTGTGGTAGTAGCATCACAAGAAATGATTTGTAAATGTGTTTTGCTATGGCAAGTACATGTGAGTATATTATAAAAACGAATATCGAATATATTTATATATTAAAATCATATCATTAAAATTGTTCTTCTTTCCAGATATATAACATTATTTTATGCTGAAATTGCAAATAAAAATATATTATCGAGAACGTTATATATATACATATATATTAGGCTGTTACACATGAAGTAGTTGATTTTATTGATAGGTGTAAAATAGTACTTTTAAGAATTAGAATTATTAATTGAAAATTAATTATTAAAAGAATCTTATATTCTGTTCCTTTTAAGATCTCTTTATACATTGGTAATGATAATAGT